TCAGCAGGACATCTTCAGGGAATCTAAAAAACACTTCTAAATTTCTAAAGGGGCGTGTCAACAGGCTGGGGCCAAACTTTTCTCAGTGGTGTCCAGTGAGAGAGCATGGGGCAATCGGCACAAACTGGAGCACAGGAGGTTTAAGTTAAACATCAGGAAAAACTACTTGACTGTGAGGGTGACAGAGCCCTAGGACAGGCTGCCTGGGGAGGGGGTGGAGTCTCCTTCTCTGGAGACATCCCAGACCCATCTGGATGTGTTCCTGTGGGATCTGCTGTAGGTGGCTCTGCTCTAGCAGGGAGTTGGACTAGGTGATCTCCAGGGATCTTCCAGCCCTGACCACACTGTGACTGTGTGACAGCTCAGGCCTTGCGCTGCTCCTTCAGTTGACATTTCCCCCAGGGCTGAGCTGCCTCCCTGTGCTGGGGTCTCGTTCACCTTCTCTCTCCCTTGCAGGACCCTCACTCCTTGGCCGTGCCCGGCGCCAGGGCCAACACGGTGCTGGAGCGGGTGGAGGGTGCCCAGCAGCGCTGGAAGCGCCAGGTGCAGGAGCAGAGGAAAACGGTTTTCGACCGCCACAAGATGCTGAGCTAGATCTGTGCTGAGCTGAGCAGCACCACTGCCCAGGGGAGAGGGCAGGCAGACCAGGTCATCCCTCAGGACACCTGTGGTGTTGGACTGACAGCTCTCACCCTCTCTGATTTCTTGTCTTCACAGAGACGGGCAGAACAAATCACTTCCTCTGGTTTTGTCCCCTTGCCTTTCACCTCAGCCCAGAGGCTCCTCAACCCTTGCCCAGCTGAGATGCTGGTGGCTGCCCCGTGGCTTCCTGCTCATGGTGGGCTTGTGGACCACTCGAGCTGCTGTGCTCAGTGTCCCCCACCTGCCCCCCGTGCTGGGACTGAAGTCTCCATCAGCCCACATCAAAGACAGGGGTCTTGGTACAGAACATTGGAAGCTGAGTCTTTCTGGGAGAAAAACTGGGATAATTCTGATGTGGGATAAACTGTGTGGTGCTCCTCCAGGATGGAGAAGCCTTCTCCTCCTCCAGTTTGCACCCCAGTTAATTTGGAGGTGTGGGGCTGAGACGTGCACAGGGAGGAGGAGGGGGTTCCCTGCCAGTGGTCACCTGCTACTTGCACTTACCCTGCTGTAAACTGAGCAGATTCCCACCCTGGTCAGTGGAGTCTGTCCAGATTTAAACCAGCATAACTGAGACTTCAGCTTCTTTCTGTGTAGGTGTCACAGAACTGATTAGTACATTAACAAGAGACCAACAAGGAAAAAGTTGATTTCCATGTCTACCTTTTCCTGCTTTATACAAACATAATGGGGAGAAAGCTTTCTGTTTGTAGCCACATAAGGAACCCTTGATGCTCTCACAGTGGAGTCAAGGGGCATTTGTGTCCAAGAAGTGGGGCAAAGGCTTTACTGTAAACATTTGTCTGTGTCTCAGGGCTCTGGAAAGGGCCATTTGTGCTACTCACAACACTCTGAGAGCTCTAATGGTGCTTGGGCTGTGTTGGAGGAAACTGGAGTGATTCTAGAATGTGTATATTGATCCCACAGAGAACACTGATAATGAATATCAGGAAGATGCTGGAGTTGATGGTGTAGCATCTCTGTATTAAATGCAGACAAAGATCTATTACATGTTGGCTTTTTTTTTCAGGGAAAAGTCCCATCACACCAGGCCAGGGGCTCCCAGCACTGAGCTGGGCAGTGGATGCTGCTCTCCAGGCAGTTGATGCAAGACCTCCAGACCAAGCTGTGGTTGTGGCACTTGGTTGTTCTGGCATTGCAGGTGGGTCCCTGGCCCTGGTTTGTGCCTGTCTATACTGGGAGGGTGATACTCTTGCTCCAGGAGAGCTGGGCTAAAACCAGTGGCAAACCAGAACAGTCCTGTCCAAGTTAGCTACAAACTACAAGTCTTGGGAGGAGCAGCTGAGGGAGCTGGGGGTGTCCAGCCTGGAGCAAAGGAGGCTGAGGGGAGACCTTCTGGCTCTGGAACTGAGAGGAAGTTGGAGCCAGGGGTGGTTGGTCTCTCCGGATATGAAAATGGCCTCAGGTTGTGCCAAAGGAGGTTTAGATTGGCTCTTGGGAACCATTTCTTCCTGGAAAGGGGTGTCAGGCCCTGGCCCAGGCTGCCCACGGCAGTGGTGGTGCCCTGGAAGGATTTAAATGTGGTGCTGAGGGACATGGTTTAGTGGTGGCCTTGGCAGTGCTGGGCTAACGGTTGGATTTAATGATCTTGAAGATCTTTTCCAACCAAAATGACCCGGTGAAATCTGTGTAAAGGGTCTGGACACAGGCAGGGACCTGAGCAGAGCAGCCGTGGCTGCCATGCAGGGACTGAGCTGGTGCGATGGGTCCATCTGGTGGCCAGTGAGACACCAGTGACCACCAGCGGTGGGGTCCTGTTCCCAGCGAGTGGACCCCTGTTTCCCTGATCCTGGAAAGGTAAGCAGCACCCCTATCCCTTCCTCTGAGAGAACTCAGTTGGGGGAGGGATGGCGTTGAAAAGCTGCAAAAAACCCACTACCTGGCTAATTATTTGATTTGTTAATTAGTTGATTAGCTCTGTCCTGTGCACCATCCTCCCTGAAAGGTGTTTGCTGCCGCTGAGCCTGCCGTTCCCAGGCCTCTGCTCCTCCCCACACCCCAGCGTCGCTCCCTGAAACATCCTCCGAGCAGGCACAGCCCGGTGGGCCCCATTCCCAGCCCCATCCGTGCCCCACGGCAGCTCCTGCCGTCCCCTCCAGAGCCAGGAGGCAGCGCCAGAGGGAGCCAATAATTTAATTCCTTCTCAGAAAATAAGGGAGTGAAAAAAAAAGAACCTCTTGGTACAAAACCTGCTTTGCAACCTGCCCCGTCCCCGCTCAGGTGCCTTCCACAGTCCAAATGTCGATGCTCTGGATGATGAGCCACTCGCTCTGGTCCCGGGTTACCCGGATCCTCAGGCACTCCACGGGGCCGGGAACACCCCTCTCCAGCCCCCGCAGGTCCAGGGTTCCCTTCTCAAAGGTGCCCACGGAGGTGTAGGCAGAGCAGTCCCGGCCATCGGGCCGTGGCTGCCGGCCCAGCTCCAGCACCCCCGCCCGCAGGACGTCGCCCCGGCGCTCCGGGGAGCCCGTGCGCACCCGGACACGGGTGACGTGAGCTGGTTGCTGCAGCACGATGGAGAAGGTGCTGCCAGCTGCTGGGTCCTTCCCCCAGAAATACCCCTCTGCTGTGCCGTAAGCCTTGAGGGGCTCGTAGTTCTCAAAGATGGACATGCTGGTGAAAAAAGCAGCTGGTGGGTTGTCCGGAAGGTCCAAGGCATCGGCCTGGAACTCGTCGTCCTCCAGCCTGTTGATGGTGCCCTGGAAGGAGGAGTAGAGGCCCATGTGCTGGAAGAGGGAGGGCCTGAAGCGGATGACGTCCTTCTGGGTGAGCAGGAGACGGAAGTGTGTCAGCAGCCAGTCACAGGGCATCTCCTGGTAGAAGAGGAGGAGGAAGCGAGCCAGGCGTGGAAGTTCACTGGAGCGGTAGAGCTTTCCAATGTAGCCCAGCTTGGAGAACTCCAGGGTGGCCCAGTTGGAGCCTTCCTGGGAAGCCAGTGCCTTGCGGATGGCCGTCAGGAAGGACTTGGCGCACCACACGTCGTCCTCAATCATCAGGTAGTAGGAGGAGAGGTTGGCAGCAAAGGCAAAGAGGAAGGCATAGTCCACGTTCTGCTTGGACCTGAACATCACCCGCTCCTCCGGGTCATTGAAGTTTCTCTTGAGGCCCTTCAGGCTGGGGTAGAACTCTTGGGGAGCATGGATGAGCAGGAGCCGGCCCAAGAGGATGTGGTGAGCAAACTTGCGGGCAATGTCCATGGCCACGCGCATGTTCCACCCTGGGTCTGCATCAGCTAGGTGCACCACCACCACCATCTCCTGCAGCTCCTCCTCCGTGGACTGCTGGAAGAGGGACTGGAGTGTGGCAGGGAGGTAGTAGCCACGTGGCCGCCGCACGGATGCCAATCCCACCGTCAAGAACTCTGCAAGGCAAAGGGAAGGTGTCAGCGGGCTGAGGGGGGACCTGGCAGGCACCATGATGAGGTTTCTCCCTGGAAGCCACAAGGAGGGGGCTCCAAGAAGTTTTGCAAGGCCAACCTGTATGTTTGTGGCCCCATATCCAAGGCTGGCAGGTGCTTTCTGAAGTTGAAGCCCCCAGCGTCCCAGGAGGTGCCCAAAACTGGACCAAATGACAAGGAGAGGAAAGGACAAGAAGTCAAGAAATATTTGGGAAAAGCACCTTAAACCAAGCCCACCTGGGGAAGGAACAGTGCAGAGACAGTCTGTGGGGCAGGGATGGTCTCAGGGCATGGCTGCACATCCTTGAAGCGTGTCCCTACATACTCCAAACCTCATGGAGATGTAACCACACCGGGACAAGGCATCCTCTGCCCTCACCACAGCCCAGCTGGGGTTGCATTTGTTGAGCTTTGCTGCAGCTTCTGGTGCTGGTGTGCCCAGCAGCGTCTGTACTGGGCCTCTGGTTTCAGCACAGACTCTTGTGGGGCTTCCTAAGCTCCTTCCCATGATGTTTGCATGTGAGTCCAGAGAAGCCACAGAGGTGATCCAAGGGCTGGAGCAGCTCTGCTCTGGAGACAGACTGGGAGAGTTGGGGCGTTTAGCCTGGAGAAGAGAAGGCTCCAGGGAGACCTTAGAGCAGCTTCTAGGGCCTGAAGGGGCTTCAGGAAAGCTGGGGAGGGGCTTGGGACAAGGGCAGGGAGTCATAGGACAAGAGGGAATGGATTAGAACTGGAAGAGGGAGATTGAAGTTGGACATGAGGAGGAAATTCTTTGCTGTGAGGGTGGTGAGACACTGACCCAGGTTGCCCAGGGAAGCTGTGGCTGCCCCATCCCTGGCAGTGTTGAAGGGCAGGTTGAATGGGGCTTGGAGCAACCTGGGCTGGTGGGAGGTGTCCCTGCCCATGCAGGGGGGTTGGATCTAGATGGTTTTTAAGGTCCCTTCCTACTCAAACCACTCCATGATTTTATGATACAATTCTGTGAATTGCTTTTTGTGCTTCTCTCCAATAACTTGACCTGCATCTCCCACACCATGCCATTGTCCAGGTGGTCTGGCTGGCTCCACCATCTTCACCTTCCTCACTAGAGAGCAGGAAACTCTACCCCAGGGAGATGGGGCCACCCACTCCACAGAGATCTGGGAAACCCAGAATGTCTGTGGTCACTCCAGTCCTGAGGTGCAGCAGAAGCATGGATGACACTTGGAGCATGCTGACCTTCCTCCAGCCCTCCATCTATCCACAGCCCTGCCCACTCTGGGGTCCCAGAGCCACTCACTTTTGTGGGGTGACAGGGAGCCAGCGAGGAGGTTGTAGGAGATGTTGTGGAGTGCAGAGAGGTCATCTGTGTCCCTTAGGATGCGCAGGGCTCCTTCTGGCTGCAGCATCTGCAGGACTGTGCCTGGGGCCAAGCCCCCAAGCTCCACCTGGATGGGAGCCACAGAGAGCTGGGTCAGATCCCAAGAGGACCATGGACACGTGAGCAAGGAAGGGGGGCTCTGTCCTGCCCTCCCAGCTCCTGGATCAAAGGTGCTCAGGTCAACCCCAGGGAGAGGAGAAGGCAGAGCTGGGGCTTGATATGGGGCAGGGAAGGGGTTGAACTGGGGTTGATGTGGGGCAGGTGGGGATGGAGGGAGCTGCAGTGGCTCCTCCAGTGGGATGTCACTGGTGGGAGACTCACCTCCAGGGGATCCTGTTCCTGCCGAGTGCCCCCATGGAGGAGGAGGAAGAGGAGGAGGAGGAAGGAGGCTGCGAGCGCAGCCGTGAGGGAGCGCCTGAGGGAGCATCGCATGGCAGCGGCCGCAGGCTGGGGAGGAAGGGGCAGGTCAGGACCGGGCACAGCTCTGGGAAACCCACCAGCCCCTGGGCAGGGGGGTGGGCAGCACCTGGTTGCACTCCTGGAGCAGACCCCTCTGCCCAGAGCACCCAGGGATGCTCCCCTTGGGTGGCCACAGGACATCAGGAGGCACCAGACACCATCCCCCTTGGGCAGGCAGGGCAGGACACCCCAACCCAGCCAGGAAAAAAAATAATCCATCAGGTACCAAACCCACCCCCAGCCCTGCCAACCCCCCTGGCTGCCCTGCAACACCCTGCACAGCAACCCTGGAGCTGTAGGCAGGAGAAAGGCAGGTGACACCTCAGGGAAGGTTTTTGGGTCGAGGTGGCACCCCAGGACAGTCACCAAGCCCTGGGAAACGCCCAAGTCTCTCCTGGCTGCTCTTCCAGCATCACAAGAATGGAGCAGCTCCCCTGGTGCTCCCTGTCTCCAGGCAGCCACTCGCCCTGCCCCAGCCACCTCCTGTGCTTTGTAGGTCAGGAGAGCTGTCCTCGAGGAGGGAGAGTGTCACCTTCAAGGAATTCGTGCTGCCCTTGAGATATTTTGCCTTGCAGCCAGGGCGTGGCGGGAGCCTCAAGGCCTCCAGTGTTTGCCTGGGGTTTTTCCATTACAAACACAGCGAGTGCCCAGCCAGCCCCATCCAACTGGTCACAGCTTTGGGTCAAAGCACCTCTGAATGCAGAGCTGGAGGGAAAGCTCCCCCCAAGCCATGGGGCACTGCAGGGAGAAAGCTGCCAGCCCTCCTGCTGGGCTTCACCAGGACCTCTCTGTGGACACACCACTGCATCCATCACCTGCCACTTGGCAGCAGACGCTCCCAGTCCACTCACAGTCCCCAAACTGCTGCTGCCCTCAAGTGTGTGCTGATTATTTTAAGGTGAAACCCCCTGCTTTCCTGCTCAGAAAACCTTTTGGGGGTTGTTAGCATCTCACCAGGCTGGTGTGGTTCCAGCAGCCAGCACCGTCCTTGGCACTGACTTGACCACGTGCAGGGCTTGTTACTCAGAGATAAGCAATTAACCCAGAGTGTGCTGCTGCCCCAGGGAGGGCTGGGCTGAGCCCTGACCTCCCCAAGACCTGTCTGGGCCAGGGACAGCAGAGGAGCCACCTCCCCCTGGGCTCCAGCTCAGCGGTTGCCGAGCTCTGGTTATTGCTGGGTCTTCAAACCACCTGGGGAGGCAACAAGTTCCTGGACACAACAGGGAGTGGGGACAACTGGGGGTGCCACTGCCAAGAGCCAGCCCAAAGTACCCCAGCCTTTCCTTCCCCCAGTGGGGACACTGGCAGCTTACTGGATTAGAGGGGAGCAGCTTTGGGAACCCAGCCCAGGCCACGGGGACATCACACCCCAAAACCACCCTGCAGGTGGATCTCCAAGCCCAGACCTCCTCGACCTGTTGTGGTGCAGCACCAAGGCCACAGGGTGATCCAGCAACAGCCAGGCCTGGCAACGGGCCACAGGCTGGCACTAGTTATGCTGTGGGTGGCCAAAGGTTCTCCTGGCTGCCAGGAGAGCATCTGGCTGCCAGTTGCCCTTCCTGGGTGGAAAACAAGGTGCTGCTCAGCCCTAGCTCCCATGGACTGGGAGCAGAGAGCCTGTGGGGAACTGAGGGTCACACACACCTGGCCCCTCTGGCACTGCAGGCTTAACAGAACAGAAGGTACTGAGTGCTGCCCCATAATTAGCCCCCTAATTGGGGTTCTGATTTTTTGCCTCCCTGGAGAAACAAAGCAGCCCAGGGCACAGCTGAGGGCCTTGCCACTGTGGGCACCTCACAGGGATGCAGCATCCTCCTGGCTCTTGCTCCAGGTGCCTTCACAGAGCATCCCTGTCCCTGCTGCAGCCTCACAGCTCAGCACCCTGCTGGGGATGTCCCCAAAAGCCATCCCCCGTGGTGCTGCTGCCTGCCCAGAGCTGTTCACCCAGAGCCAGATGAACTCCTCCACTTGGTTAGGAAACTCCCCAATGGGCTGCATGACGCAGCAGCCGTGACTCAGTCCAGCAGTGGAGGGGAAGGACAAGGAGTAAATACTCGGCCACGGTCCCGTGAGGGCTGCGAGGAAGGGCCGGATGCTCCCCCTGTGCAGCAGCTGCAGCTGCTTCCTCAGGCTCTGGGGAGAGTGGGGCTGTGCTCGGGGAAAGGGGAACAACCAGGGCTCAGCATCCCCCCCCTGCCAGCCACACCTTTCCATGCCAGGGGAAACTGAGGCACAGAGAAAGGCCACACGCGGGGTTAGCACCAGGTTTCCCGCAGCGCAGGTCAGTGCCCGTCACCCCCTGCCAGGGGGGTCCCCGGGATGGAGAGGGACAGGGACCCAGCCCCAGCAGCCACCCCTTGCTCGAGTGGAGGAGGTGGCACCTCGTGGCAGCACCACGTCCCTGGTGGGCACATCACGGCTGGGTGGGATGGGGACCTCCCGGGCACCAGTGGGACCAGCCCCGCGCTCTGGGGGGGTCTCTGCTCCGAGGGTCACCCCGCAGGGAGGGAGGAGGGGAAAAGCTGCATTTTGGTAGAGCAGGGCTGTGGGAGCCAAAGCTTTAGGCCAACCCATGTGTCCCACAGCCCCTCAGCACGGGAGGGTCCCCGTGGGCAGTTTGATAAGGGGACACCTGTGGTTCCAGCAGCCAGCACCGTCCTTGGCACTGACCTGACCACGTGCAGGGCTTGTTACTCAGAGATAAGCAATTAACCCAGAGTGTGCTGCTGCCCCAGGGAGGGCTGGGCTGAGCCCTGACCTCCCCAAGACCTGTCTGGGCCAGGGACAGCAGAGGAGCCACCTCCCCCTGGGCTCCAGCTCAGCGGTTGCCGAGCTCTGGTTATTGCTGGGTCTTCAAACCACCTGGGGAGGCAACAAGTTCCTGGACACAACAGGGAGTGGGGACAACTGGGGGTGCCACTGCCAAGAGCCAGCCCAAAGTACCCCAGCCTTTCCTTCCCCCAGTGGGGACACTGGCAGCTTACTGGATTAGAGGGGAGCAGCTTTGGGAACCCAGCCCAGGCCACGGGGACATCACACCCCAAAACCACCCTGCAGGTGGATCTCCAAGCCCAGACCTCCTCGACCTGTTGTGGTGCAGCACCAAGGCCACAGGGTGATCCAGCAACAGCCAGGCCTGGCAACGGGCCACAGGCTGGCACTAGTTATGCTGTGGGTGGCCAAAGGTTCTCCTGGCTGCCAGGAGAGCATCTGGCTGCCAGTTGCCCTTCCTGGGTGGAAAACAAGGTGCTGCTCAGCCCTAGCTCCCATGGACTGGGAGCAGAGAGCCTGTGGGGAACTGAGGGTCACACACACCTGGCCCCTCTGGCACTGCAGGCTTAACAGAACAGAAGGTACTGAGTGCTGCCCCATAATTAGCCCCCTAATTGGGGTTCTGATTTTTTGCCTCCCTGGAGAAACAAAGCAGCCCAGGGCACAGCTGAGGGCCTTGCCACTGTGGGCACCTCACAGGGATGCAGCATCCTCCTGGCTCTTGCTCCAGGTGCCTTCACAGAGCATCCCTGTCCCTGCTGCAGCCTCACAGCTCAGCACCCTGCTGGGGATGTCCCCAAAAGCCATCCCCCGTGGTGCTGCTGCCTGCCCAGAGCTGTTCACCCAGAGCCAGATGAACTCCTCCACTTGGTTAGGAAACTCCCCAATGGGCTGCGTGACGCAGCAGCCGTGACTCAGTCCAGCAGTGGAGGGGAAGGACAAGGAGTAAATACTCGGCCACGGTCCCGTGAGGGCTGCGAGGAAGGGCCGGATGCTCCCCCTGTGCAGCAGCTGCAGCTGCTTCCTCAGGCTCTGGGGAGAGTGGGGCTGTGCTCGGGGAAAGGGGAACAACCAGGGCTCAGCATCCCCCCCTGCCAGCCACGCCTTTCCATGCCAGGGGAAACTGAGGCACAGAGAAAGGCCACACGCGGGGTTAGCACCAGGTTTCCCGCAGCGCAGGTCAGTGCCCGTCACCCCCTGCCAGGGGGGTCCCCGGGATGGAGAGGGACAGGGACCCAGCCCCAGCAGCCACCCCTTGCTCGAGTGGAGGAGGTGGCACCTCGTGGCAGCACCACGTCCCTGGTGGGCACATCACGGCTGGGTGGGATGGGGACCTCCCGGGCACCAGTGGGACCAGCCCCGCGCTCTGGGGGGGTCTCTGCTCCGAGGGTCACCCCGCAGGGAGGGAGGAGGGGAAAAGCTGCATTTTGGTAGAGCAGGGCTGTGGGAGCCAAAGCTTTAGGCCAACCCATGTGTCCCACAGCCCCTCAGCACGGGAGGGTCCCCGTGGGCAGTTTGATAAGGGGACACCTGCAGCTGATCCAGTCCCCCGGCAGCCCGGCCCCCTGCCCTCAGCCCTCCGGGTCCCCGGGAGACCCCGGCCCAGGACACCCCTTGCCCGTGCAGCCCCCCGTGCCCAGCCCCGACGTCCCGTGCCCATCACCAACATCCCGTGCCCATCACCGACATCCCGTGCCCAGCCCCGACGTCCCGTGCCCATCACCGACGTCCCGTGCCCAGACCCGACGTCCCGTGGCC